CATATATCTTCATTAATTAAAAAGTAAACCCAACCAAAAAAAGAAAGGAATAATCAATCCTCCATATACACGTACTACAGGAATTAGTTATGATGAGGACAACAGCATCCCCCTAAATTCCCTACAAATTAATTAAATATATACCAATTAATGTAGCTCTTGAGTTTTAATTAATTATTTGAGCTCTGGGTGGGTATTAATAATATAATAAAATCTCATTAGGTGGTATTAATATATAATAAAATCTCATTAGATTAATATTTGATGAATTAATAATCACTTTAAGATAATATTTTTCTTTGATTTCAACTTAGGTGAATGAAAAAAATTATCCATTTCAATAAAATAATATGATAATATATCTTTAAAAGATCCTTATATAAATATATGGTTCCATTAATATTATTAACTAATAATCCTTTAAAATTATTTTTTGTTGAAATTTAAATCTAATTGAAGTTCATTCCTAACATCTTTTATTGCATCTAAAAGTTTTGGTATTGTCACGCCTACAAATCTTTTTGAGTGCATGTGGGAACGATTTTTTTTGTACTCACATAATTTACATAATTGATCTGTCATTGTTAATTTTGTGACACCTTTTAAATGAAAAACCACTTTTTGATATGGTTCCAAGAAATTTTCTATGTTGCTTATATAGTTTATTTTGTCACCATCATGCATTGAATATTTTTAGTAAAGATACAATGAATAATATTTGATTAATAAGAAACAATGAACATTATGTATAATGAATCAATATATTTTTACAATGAATCATTTAAAAAAGTATATTACAACAAATCATATATATATATATATATATATATATTGTGTTTTATATATATAATAAATTTATATTTTATATGAATTCAATAAACATGATACATAATTTAGTAATATAGAATGATTTTGATGTATTTATTGTACTTTAAGTATAATAAATTTATTTTATGTGAATTCAACAAATATGATATAAGGATAAGGGTCTGAAAAATATCCCAACTTTGGTCGGATTTGCTGTTGCGATACTAAACTTTCATGAGGACCTATTACCTCCC